ATATATATATAATATATATATACTATGTCTGTATACATGTGTGTATGTATACATGCAGGTGTACTGATGTATTTACAAATATTTGTAGATAATTGGATTAAAATATGTCTTTATAAATGTCCACACACTTCGTATTAAGAGTTCTCTCTCTTCCCTTCAGCCTCCCGATGTAGTTACGTCCCCCGCTGCGCATCCTGCTGCTGTTGATCCTCCTGTTGCTCCTCCCGTTGCTCGTTGGAGCCCTTTGCTCCTGTTGCTCCTCGTGCTGCTCCTTCTGCTGCTCATTCGGCTGCTGTATCAATTTGTTCTTGCCTAGTTTATTGTATCACTAGTGTTTATTATTTATTATATATGTTATTATTATTATTATCAATAAAAAACCAAAATACTAGTAATAGAGAAAAGAATAAGTTACAGTTGCTCTGAGTGAAAATTCGGTAGGTGGGTCGACTTTCGCCGCCTGCTGCTGCCACTTTCGCTGGTGCTGCAGCTGCTGCAAGCAGCGGCGATATGAGGGCGCATTAGTGCAGCAGCAGACCAAGGACAACAGCAGCAGCCAGAAGAAAAGGAGAGGAAGGAAGGAACGAAGCGCCATTCTCTAGAATTGTCTTCCATTCACTTTCCCTATAAATAAAAGAGTAAAGAAAACAAACAAAAACAAATCAAGGGACAATATTCTGTTCAGCAGTAACAGCAGCAACAAGTGCAGCAGCTGCTGCTATGCTACTGCATGCAAGCAACAATAATAGTACCCAACTAAGCACAGCAACCGCAACAACAACAGCAACTGCGTCAGCCGCACCACCCATTAAAGCAGCAGCTGGAGCAAACAAGCAAGCAACAACAACACTAGCAGCAGCAAGAACAGCAGCAGCAGCAAGAACAGTAGCAGCCGCAAGAACAGCAGCAGAAGCAACAGCAACACTAGCAGCAAGTGTTTATTATAATTTACTGGAAAGGAGGAGTATCTTTCGTAAGTGCTTTCGGGTGGAAGAGACAAACAAGAGCATTAAAAGGCTCTTCTCCTCCTCCTCCATTTTGTTCTCCTAATCGACGAATTCTAATTCCTCCTCTTGCTGCTTCCCCTCCTGCTGCTGCTGCTGCTGCTGCTGGTACTGCTGCTCCACCTGCACCTCCCGCTCTTATTGCTGGAGATGTTGATGATGGCTGAGCGACACCACCTCTGACTGCTCCATTAGTGCTTGGGGTGCTGGTTTCGGTGATGGAGGGGCTTTGCTGGCCGTTTCCTTGGCTGCTTTGGCCGTTGTTGCCGTTGGTACCGCCATTAGCACCATTGTGTCCACTACTAGAGTCGCTTTCTGTTGAAGAGCTTTTGTATGGGCATTGGATAACAGTGCATGTAACAGCTACTCCCTCTTTAGGTGTATAGAGATTCATAAAGGATACAACATCAAGACTTTTGTATATATTCTCTCCGGGTGTATAGGCAGGTGGTAAAGAATCTCCTATTGCCTTTAATGCTCCCTTCCATTGCTTTGTTGCTGCTGCACAATCGCCGGCCGTTGAGCTTTGAATTGCTGCTGCTATAGACAAATCAACATCAGTTTTTGTTAGCCATACGCCAGGATCTGTACCCTGCAACGGTCCAAACAAATACAAAAAACAAGACTATTCAAAGTGAGGAGGAAGATGGAATAGAAGAAGCAGCAGCAGCTGCTGCTGCTGTTTGCCTGTAGCTGAAGCGAAGGAGGAGAGATGAATAGATAGAAAGACACAGTTGAATGCTGAAAGAGAAATCAAAGATAAACAGCAATACTTCATAACGCAGAAACACACTATTGCGTGTATATATATATATATATATATATATATATA